CTCAGAAAAGAAATAGAAGGAAAATGTCAGGATTATATTACAAATGAAGACTAAATTACAAGGTGCCCAAGGAATAGTAATTTCACACAAAAATGTTACAAGGAGCATTGAACTAAAGCAGGCGTATAAAAACAGACTTAGAAACTGAAAAGGAGCTTAAAAAATAAATAAAAAGGGTTCGAGAGGAAATGATTGAATTGGAAGACAAGTAGAGGAGGTTCAACATAAGACTACTTGGAGACTAAAAAAGAAAATCAGAAGAACTGACCAGAACTCATACCTAAAATTAGAACCCAAGAAAACATTCCAGAAATAAAAGGAACCTTAAATCTACATATTGAAAGGGCCTACCAGATAAATTGACCCAGAACAGCCTAAAAAAATACCCTAGTTAAAACTATTACACTTTAAAGATGTTTTAAGAAAAAGTCCTCACGAAAAGATGACTTCCAAAGACATGTAAATTAGACTGGACAGACTTTTTCCCACGTAACAGACAAAGCAACAGTGGAGCAACATTTCCAAGATTCTTAAAGTACAAACCAAGGATTTTTATATCTAAGCAGCTGCCTTTCAAGAATCAATCAGGGTTATAGGAAGACAGTTTTGAATGTCCAGGAACTCAGAGAATGCTGTGCATGTGTGCCCTTCCTTTCTAGTGAATCTGCCTGAGGGAGATTCTAACCAGATGTGACTAAGGAGACTCCAAGTGGATGAATGAAGACAATGAAGACTTCATACGTGTATTTGTAGAGCCAAGATCAACAAGGTTGTGGAGTTTTGATGTATCAGTCAGAATTTGATGAGAGAAAAAAGACCACTAGGAGTAATGAGAAATAATAAGGATTTGTTGAAGTCACTTGATTAATTGATGTTGACTAGTTGATGTAGTTGTGGGAACTGGTTAACTAGTCTACATGTGGCTGTTGCTTCTGTGTCTAGTGCTCAACTTGCTGTCAGCAGGTCAGGCAATTGAAAAGGAAAGATGGATATGAAATAGGGGAGAACATGGGCAAACTACAAGCTGCATGCATGAACCAAAACTATAAGGATGAACTGGAATCCATGTAAGCTTCCAGCTTAAATAATGAAGTGACCAGAAGAATAAGTTGGTTCCCTTCATCATGGAACTAAAATCTCGCTTGGCCCAGGAGGTGGAAAAGCTGACAGTGGAGATCTGGCAGGAATTGGTACAGCTGTGGGCCCCAGCTGCTGCCCTACAACCAGCAAGGTGAGCCAGCAGACAAGCTGTAGGTGTGTAAACTGCTGTAGCAGGTAGGGCCCTGCACCAGCCTGCCCAGCAAGAGAGGATACGGCTGCTGCTTCCTTTTACACCTTCTAGTTCTCTCGCAGAGTAGCTCCTGGTCCAGGATAACCCAGAACTGGGCAGGGAATAGAATAATGGAAAACAGTTCCAACTTAGCTACATTGACAAAATACAAGTCCATCGCCCAAGGGTAAAAGAATAATATGAAGTCAGGTATTCTGACAAAATTAAAAAGAACGTAACTAAAGAGAGATGAAAAGAAAAAGGAGAGGGGAAATAGAAGACTATTGATTATTACATAGGCAATAAGTGGTAGTTAAAGGATACTATTTAAAAATGATAGACCAGATAGTAAAAGGTTATGAAAAGTTGAGGTTAATACTTTTATAATATGATAAAAAGTGACAGTCAAGCTGGAACCTGTCACTGCGCTCCCCACAACCATGAGGAAACCAGGAGGTTCTCCCTCCACGTGCCCCAAAGATGGAGAGCTGGGCCCATCAGGAAGCAACCCACTGACCAGACAGACCCACACCCTCATTTCCCAGGACCCGGACACCCCAGCACCCCAGAGCCGCCTGGGGTCAGGGCGGGGTCTTCCTGACAGAGCTGCAAGGACACACAGGTGCAGGAGAGACAGCCCTGCACAGGACTCTGCCAGCACCAGACCCTGGGACCACGCATATGGAACCCACGCTGAGCATGCTGCCCGCCAGCCTGGCAGGACTCGCATCTCCCCGGGAGTATCTGCAGAAGGACATCGGACTTTGGCAGCAGATGGTTACTGCTCTGACTGTACATATGGAGGATGACAGTTTCAGGCTGAGCACAAGATTCCTGTAATATTGACCTGTTACATCACCACCAACCAATCAAAAGAAGGTCACACACCCTGCAGCACTCCCCCAAATTTTGCCTTTGAAAACTTCTCCCCTAAAACCATGGGTGAGTTCAGGTTTTTCGAGCATAAGCCACCTGTTCTCCTTGCTCAGCCCTGCAATAAACCTTCTCTGCTCCCTCCCACAAAAAAAGGGAAACTGGGCACCCCAAACAGAGAAACATAGTCAGTGTAACATAATATACACAGTAATTGCAGTACAGAATAATATGAAAGAACTGAGATCAGACATACCAGTTGCATCAATAAATGTGATTAAGCTTAACTTTCCTACTGAAAGAAAACATCCATCAATTCCTGTTTATCTTCTGTTTTCTTTATTTTTTTAAATCAAGAATAAATGCTTAATTTTGTGGGTTTTTTTATTTTGTACCTCATGAATTCCTGGCTTATCTTTATCATTCACTCTCTTGTGCTTTCTTTTGATTTAGTCTGTTCTTTTCCTAAAAAATTTTTAAGTGGGAAACTTATTCATGTATTTTAATTTTTATTGATAAAAATGTTTAAGGCTATGAATGAAGGATGTAAATTTTCTTCTGTCAGTGCATGAACTATATCCCATAAATTATGATACACAGTATTTTCATTTTTTTTAAGAAATTCTGTAATCTTGACTTTCGTGTCACCTTTTACTCAAGTTGATAAATAGAGGGTTTTTAAATTTTTAAGAAAGGCGGGAAGTAATAGAAAATATATACGTTTGGTCTCTGCCCTGGGTTTCTGGCACAGGACTCCTAAATCCCTTGCCATTTCTCAAGTGGTAGGAGCACTAGGAACATCTTTTGTCCTCATGTTTGGTTTCTGACCCCAGTTCCTGACAGAGTTCCTAGATTCCTCAGAATTTCCTGGGTGGTAGGATTGTCTTTTGTCCCAAAGTGATCCTTGGTGGGCTGCTGGATGGAGCTAGTCACCAGAAAGACCAAGCCGTGATTAGAAGCTTGGAATGTTCATCCCTCCCCTCCACCCCCCATTCTCCAGAGAGGGGAAGGGGGTTGGAAATGGAGTTATCGGTCGATCACACCTCCTTGGTGAAGCCTCCATAAAAATCCCAGAGGTAGAGACTTCAAAGCACTTTTAAGTTGGTGAGTACATGGAGGTGCTAGGATACTGTAAGGCTTTGAGAGGGCATGGAAGCCCTGTTCCCCTTCCCACATACCTTGCCTTGTAGTATCTCTTCCATCTGGATGTTCGTTTGTATATTTTATCATACTCTTATAATAAACCGGTAAACGTAACTTTCTCTTGAGTTCTGTGAGCTGTTCTAGCAAATAATCAAGTCCAAGGGAAGGGTCATGGGAATCTCTGATTTGTAGCCAAGCTGGACAGAAGTGTGGGTAGCTTGGGGAGACCTACTGCTTGGTATTGGTGTCTGAAGTGGGAGGGCAGTCTAGTGAGTGACTGCCCTTAACCAGTGACATCTGTGTTAACTGGCTAGCGTCAGAATTGTAGGACACCCACCTGGTGTCACTGTTGCTTAGTGTGGGGAAGAGAACCCACACGTATGGTGTCAGCAGTGTTGTGAGCGTGGTGTTAGTGTAAGAGGGTACACAGTCTTTCCCACTCCTCCTCACCGCTCTATTACCTAATCTCCAAGTAACCACTCACCACTGTTGTCTTCTTTCTGCAGCTGCTTTCAAGATGTTTGTGGGGTTTTTTCTTTAATCTTTGGTTTTCAGGCCTTTTTGATGTGTGTAGATAAGATTTTCTTTCAATTTATCTTACTTGGGGTGTGCTAACCTTCTTGAATTCTGTGGATTTATGTCTTTAACCAAATTTTGGAAGTTTGGGTTTTATTTAGATTTTTTTTTCTGCCTCAGTCTGGCTCCTCTCCTTCTAGGACTCCAGTTCCATGTATAGTAGATCTTTTAAAACTGTTCCACTGGTTCACTGGGCCCATCGTCAGTGCAGAGCCATGAAAGAGGAAACAAAACAAAATAAAACTGGAAACTCGCCCTCATGTAATTTGCTTTTCCACGTTTTGACCCCTGTCTAAAAATCTGCCTCCTTTTGCTTTCTTTTCTCAGTCCTCAGGCATATGTTTGTGTGCATATATGTTTTGGCTTAGAGTTAATAGTTGTAATGGAAGGATGGGGTGTAAGGTAATTGCACCTCCCAATTTGTGTGGTTTTATTTTTTCTTCACGCTGGTTTGTGTCGTGTTTAGTGGGTATGTTGGGAGATTCTGATTTACATAGCTATTACTACCTCTGCTACCTTGGCAGTCGATAGTGAGTTTTTACTCTGAATCTGGCTTAACACTTCTTACTTTTTTTTCTGTATTATCTTCTCAACGTACTATATTGATTAACTAAAAGAAGTATGTTGTTTTTAGTTTTCAGAACTATATAATAGGAATTTTCAGTAAATCAAAGACCTTATGGAAATATTTTGTTTATATTCATTCTGTTACTCTGTAATGTAGTTAGGTCAGAAAAATCTGAGATGATAATGTGACAGTAAATAACCACAAAAAGCAGTCATAGTCATTGTGAATTTCAGAGGGGCTTACAACAGGTGGAAAAAAATTTACAAAATTTCAACATCTTTCTAAAAGCTTTATCTAGGTAAAGGGCACAGAGAGTTTTAACCTTGGAATAGCCACATGATTTTGATCAAATGTGTTTTATGCAGTTGTCAAGATTGAACTGAAATTTCAATGTTAGTGTTTTATACATGTGTTTAAATGCAGTTGAAGACATCAGTTTAGTTCTATCTTTTCCCTTTTTTTTTAATCTCTGACTGTTACATTTATTAATGACCCAAAGCCTAATGTGTGGATGGTGATACTTAAACTTTAATCCTTCGTGGTGTTTAACTTACAATTTTTTCCATTTAGATGGTCTTCTGATTGTTGGTGTTCACTCAGCTAAGTTTCCAAATGAAAAAGTCGTGGATAACATTAAGAGTGCCGTTCTTCGATACAACATCACCCACCCTGTGGTTAATGATGCAGATGCCAGCCTTTGGCAAGAACTAGAAGTCTCCTGCTGGCCAACTCTGATCATACTTGGACCTCGTGGAAACATGTTATTTTCTTTGATTGGAGAGGGACATAAAGATAAATTATTTTTATATACTTCAATAGCGTTAAAGTATTACAAAGACAGGGGACAGATCAGAGATAATAAAATTGGAATCAAACTCTATAAAGATTCTTTGCCACCTTCGCCATTGCTGTTTCCTGGCAAAGTAACAGTAGACCATGTTTCCAGTAGATTGGTAATAGCGGACACTGGACATCATAGAATTTTGGTCGTCTGGAAGAATGGACAAATTCAGTACAGCATTGGAGGTAAAGTTTGCATCTAATTATGATACATAATGTATTTTACAGTAAAAAAAATAGTCAAGGAAATGAATTAAAATTGAAATTTGTAAATAAGAACTAATTACAGAAAGGCACTATACATTGGCTTTTAACTTCATCAGAAATTTTGGTAATTATTGTACGGTGTCTGAATTAATCTCTTCTCACTTTCTCAAACACAAATACCCAAAGAGCTTCACTAAGGTCAAAAGGAGAAAATCTTTAGTTTAATTTTCAGTTATACTTATATATCCGATCTTGTTTTTCCAAAAAACTACCACACTTACTGTGTCTTATGGAAGTGTTATATGCGCTTTAGATTTCAGGCGATTTAAATGGAGGGTGTTGTGTTTCACTTTCCATCAAAATATACCCATATCTTTTTAATGACTAGGATAATACCCTAGGAACTTGAGACTTAGGTTATGAGGTAAATAACCTAGGATTTCTACACCATTATGCTCTTTTCTCCTTCCATAAGAAACTACACATACTTCTGAATCCATTCCCTTTGATTGTAGCAAAATAAAAGTATCATACACGCATAGATCATTTTCTTCCATATCTCCTTGGTCTTAAATCTAAAAAGGGCTCTTATTGACATCTTACATAATTAATAAAATCTGTTAAGTACCTTATTAATCTTGTTCATCCAGGCTGAACTTACATCTAACAACATATTAAAGAGAAAAGTAATTCATCTTCTTGCAGTCTTGCTTTAGTCACACATGCTGTGTTAGTACATGAAGTAGGGATATCTTCATTCCTGATGCAAATAAACTAATCTTATCCCTGAGCTCTGGGGCTATTCTTAGCATACCAAGGGATTATTCCCTTCGCTCTTGATTGTTATATATTTCATGTTGTTTTTGTTAGAGAGTATGTGTGGTTTTTTTAATTTTTATTTTTTACTTTGAGGGGGAGGTAATTAGTTTTATTTATTTATCTTTTTAGAGGAGGTACTGGGGATTGAACCCAGGACCTCTCATGCATGCTAAGCGTGCACTCTGCCACTTGAGCTATACCCTCCCCCTGTGAGTATGTGTGTGTTTTATGCTGTTTATTTTGCTTTGGCAACTTGATATTTTGGTTTATAACAGGCAGTTGTGAGAATCGTTACTCAAAAAGCATCTGTTGTAGCAGGTTAAATTTAAATGGTAAAAAGAGTTTTTAATAGATCCTAAAATTTTCAAAATAGTTTAGATGGATATTCTTTGTTGAACAGAGAAAAACCAGCAGCAAGCTACCTTTCTCAAATATGTTTCTAGGAATACTGTTATGATAAATTAATAGTTATTCTACAATTAAAAAGAAGAATTCTGTGGTTAGATACACTCAGAAAATACTGGTCAGATGTGCTTTAACAGATTCTTGGTGATGGTGCTGTTGCTGTACTCAAATCTTTCACTCTGCTAATGAACCTCATGAAAATATGAGAGGGGTTATAGCATACAGTAGTAAAAAGTATCTTCCAATCTAAAGTGATCACAATCATTTTTTTTTCCCCAGGGAACTCTCGCCGACAACAATAACAGTATTATTAATAATAGTAAAAATAGCAAACACACACACACATATATATATTAGGCATTATTCAAGCATTTTACCTGTATTAATTTATTTAGTCCTCACAATGTTATGAGTTATGTTGTATGATTAGTTCCATTTTACAGAAGAGAAACTGAGACCTAACAGAACTTGCCCAGATCATCAGCTAGAAATTGCTGGAAAGCCTGTTGTGCTCTTGAGTTCATGTTCCTGGCCACTACATTATGCTCCCTCTCTTACACCTGGGACCATGGAGTTCTGCAGAGCATCACGTAGGAATGCTAGTCTAGAGGCTTCGACTGGCTTGTCCTCTGGTCTCAGAAGTAACAGTTATATTTATTATGCTTTGTACTCTCTACCCATTAAACTCCACTTGTGTTTAAAAGCTGAGAGGTAGGCCATTAACCTAGAATAACTCTTTGTCTTTCTTAAAGTCTCCATGAGGTATTAGAGAACTTTGTGGCAAAGTGAAATAGGAAGTATGAAGGATTTTTAACTTGGGATTCATGGCTATTAAGAAGTGCTTGAATGGTCCTCAGAATCTAGGAACCCACTGAAATTGCCTGTGACGTTGTAGGGACATGTGTATTGAAGGGAAGAGGTTATAATTGTCATTGTATTATGGAAGGAGTCTACCTTCCAAAGTTGTTAAAAATCATCAGCCAGAAGCTAAACAATTAAATTATTTTTAATTCTTTTGAGTCTAGGTAATAGGTAATTTAGATGCTTTTTAAAGTAATTTCTTCTGATGTAAACTACTAAAATGTACTAATAACCATTATCCAGTAAGCCCTGTCATTAGCAAAATTTACTCTTGAGAAAAACAGGTATCTTGGGAAACATTTTAGTTTTTAGGTAGAAGTATCATGTTAATTTATGTTAAAATCCCAACTTTAAATACAGGCTTTTGGGGATGGGTTTTGTTTGTTTGGTTGGTTGGTTGGTTGCTTGGTTTTGCTTTGAGATAACTTTTTAAGTAGAAATATATTGTCTTACGTCTCTCTTGTCTTTTAGGACCCAACCCTGGAAGAAAAGATGGAGTATTTTCAGAGTCAACTTTTAACTCACCACAGGGTGTAGCCATAATGAATAATATCATATATGTGGCAGATACTGAAAACCACCTTATAAGAAAGGTAATTTTCCATTTTAAGTAAAGTTTTAATACTTCTAATCAGAAATACTTTTATTTACTTGCTACATAAATATTTGAAGTGAGAGGGTGTTGCTTGAATATTTCAGATCATCCTCATTCAACTTCTTTCAGAGGTACTTACTTTATTTTCATTCTTAGGTGTCTTGTTCTGTGTGTTACCCTGTAGTTGTCACAGAAGACAAACCCATCAAGTCCCCTTTTTAATCCTTTATTTCAGAGTCATGTGCCTAATCATCCAAAAGCTCCTCATTTTGAGGTATTGTCCAAACCACTGTTTATGAAGTGATGTTTTGTCCTTTTTCAGTAAAATTTTCTCAAACCTAAAAAAAAAAAAAAATCATACCACTCCTGCCTTCCTTCAGCTCTTTTACTTTGCTTGGAAATACTTCTCCATCAGTTAGTCTTAAAATTTCTTTTGTCTCATTGTAAAAGTAATACGTGATCTTATTTTTTAAAAATGGATTAATACCTAAAGGTAAAAAGGTCCCCTAATAATCTATTTAGCTCCCTAATAATCTATTTAGCTCCCCAGGGGTAACAACCATTGTTAAATTAGTATCTTTTCAGAAATTTTCTACTCGTATCCAAATAAATTTATATTGAAAAGACTGTCTCTAGAGAATCTTTTTTTTTAACAAATGGAATCATAATGTACATATAAAATTTCTGCATTCTCTTTTTAACTTATTTTTTCTGTATTAGTCATATGAATATGACTGCATAGTATTCCCTTGTAGACATACCTAGTTATTTTAAACATTCCTTGCTGATTAATATTTTGGCTATAATCCATTTGTCTTTAAGTTGCCATCTATTTGGAAAATAAGTAAGTTCATCTAACCCATTCTGTCTAAACATGTTGTTTTAGGTGCTTCTTTGCTTTTGTTGCCATTTTCTCTCTCTTAATATTTTTACCTATTTATATGACAAAATTATCAACTTATATAAATTTTACATATATATACATATAAAATAGGAAAAATATATATAGAACATAAAATGACCACTGTAATGTAAATCTCCACAAGGACACAAAATTTGTTTTCTTTCCTATTGCAATTCTAAGCACCTAGAACAGCACCTGGCCCACAGTAGGTGTTCAATAGATTATTTGTTGAATGAATTATGAGCAAATAATACCTGTTGAATGAAACATTTTCTAAAGCATTTGTTCCTCTTAATATGAAAAGATGTTACATGAAAAAGGGGTTTTGTGGATTTATAAATTAAAGCACATTTATTTTTTGAAAGTCTTGGACACTTGTCTTCTCAGAGACTTTAACAGGCTAATATATTTTGAATACGTAAGCGAGGGAATGTGTGTGCAGTATTTCTCAACTTACTGGACCAAAGAGCCCTTTTTAGTAAGAACTTTTCTTAGGGCTAATGAGTTAATGGTATATACTTTGGGAAAAAGTGTTTTTATGTTACTAACTACTTAAAGGTCCATATTTTCTTTATCATTATCTTTTTCTGGGTTCTGTGCTTCTAAAATTCATCATAGTGTCTTAGATATCTAACAGGATATTGAAGTAGTAAGATATTTAACCTACAACATACAGGGAGTACTTGTCCTTCTTTGATTGTACATTATTTCTCTTGCTTTAGGACTTAGTGAGTTCTGGTCTATTGACTGCATTTCAGAAATTTTTTAAGTAGCATAATTATCATAACAAACATAGGTTACTTGAAATCATTTTTATATTTTATGACAGTGTCTGCAAAAATAGAAATGAGGTTGAATTACTATTTCTTCCCCTCTTTAAAAAATAGAAAAATATTTATTGTATTTTATGTTTGTTTAAGACCTCATTTGCAGAAGATTGATCATACTCCTATGTTTACAGCTCACGAACATCAGTGTTCCATGCCGACCTGTCTCTTGTTAGAATAATTTATTTATTAATTTGTATTAATTCCTCTTCATCTCCATTCCCATTTCCCCTGCCATTCCCTGTACATAAATACACCTATAGGTAGCCTTCCTTATATGTTTAATTTACTCTTTTTATTTGTATATGACCTTATAAAACATGTAGTATTTTGTGTGTGTGTTTTAACAACTTTATTGTGATATATTTTGCACAGCATAAAGTTCACCCATTTCAAGTATATAATTCAAGAATTTTAAATTTAACAAGTTGTGCAACCATAACCATAAGTCATTTTTAGAACATTTTTATCCTCCTAGTAAGAACCCCCATGCCCAATTATAGTTAACCCCCATTCCCACCCTTAGTCCTAATCTACTCTATAAATTTGCATTTTTTGAATGTGTCATATAAATAGAATCATACAATATGTGGTCTTCTGTGTCTGGCTTCTTTCATTCTGTGTAATGTTTTTGAGGTTCATCAGTGATGTAACATGTAGGTAGTTTATTCCTTCTGTATCACTGAATAGCATTCCATTGCATGAATAAACCACGTTTTCTCTATCCATTTACCAATCAATGGACATTTAGGGTGTTTCCAATTTAGGGCTATTATGAATAATCCACATATTTTTGTGTGGACATGTTTTCATTTCTCTTTAGTAGGTGTGTAAGTCCTGGAATTGTTGATTCATATGTTTTATATTTTATGTTTAACGTTTTGAGAACCTGCTAGACTGCTAAATCACAGCCTTTGCACTGTTTTACATTTCTACCTGCAGTATATGTGGATTCCAGTTTCTCCATATCTTCACCATTACTTATCACTTTCCATTTTTGAAATTCTAGGCATTCTAGATGTGAAGTGGCCTATCATTGTGGTTTTGATAGGTATTTCCTTAATGAGGAATGATGTCAAGCATCTTTTCCTATGCATGTGGAGCATTTGTTTATTTTCCTTTGAAAAGTGTCTAGTCAGAGTCTTTGCCAGTTTTTTACTTGGGTTATTTGTGGTTTTTTATTACTGAGTTATATGAGCTTTTTATATATTCTGTATATGAATTCCTTATCAGATATGTGATTTTCAAATACTTTCTCACATTCTATGAGTCATCTTTTCACTTTTTTAATCATGTCTTTTGATGCACAAAAGTTTTAAATTTTGATGATTCCCAATTTATCTGTTTCTTTCACTACTTATATTTTTGATGTCATATAAGAATCCATTGCCAAATCAAAAGTCATGAAGATTAACTCCTATGTTTTCTTCTAAGAGTTTTATAATTATGGCTCTCACAGTTAGGTCTTAGATCTATTTTTAGATGATGTTTATATGGTATGAGGTAAGATCCAACTTCATTCTTTTGCATATGGATATTCAGTTATCCCAGAACCATTTACAGAAGAGACAATTCTTTCTCCGTTGAGTAGTCTTGGCAGCCTTTAGAAAATCAATTACTCATACATGCATGGGTTTATTTCTGGACTTTCAGGTCTCTTCCATTGATCTTTGTATCTGTCCTTATGCCAGTACCACACTGTTGTGATTGCCATAACTTTTAATAAGTTGTGAAATCAGAAAGTATGAGCCCTCCCACTTCTTTCTCAATACTGTTTTGACTGTTCTGAAGCCCTTGTAATTCCATATGAATTTTAGGATCAACTTATTCATCTCTGCAAAAACTTTTGTTTGTTTCTCATATAGGTAATTATATTGTTTGAAGAAAACAAATGGCAGTTTTATCTTTTCCCTTTTTTTTATATTTCTTACTTCCTTTTATTATATTGCTTTCAAGCCTTACAGTGATGGTGGGTGTCTTGTCATGATCATAATCTTAAATGGAATGAATATAAACTTTCTCCACACGTTTGGTATTTTCTATAGCTTTGGAAAATAAAATGCTTATGAAGTTAAGAAACTTTCTTTTTATTCCTAGCTACTAAGAATTTTTATGTGATTTTTTTTAATGTGTTTTCTATATTTATCAAAGTAATTATATAGTTTTTTGCCCTTAGCATGCTGATGTGATGAATTGTGTATTAATAGATATTTTTGATGTTGAACCATCTTTTTATTCCTGGGATAAACCTTACCTAATCATGAATTTTTTAAAAAGTCAAATTGGATTTGATTATCCAAAATTATATTTAGTATTTTAAAATTCATGTTCATAAATTAAATGGCTCTATATTTTCTTGTACTGTTCTCACCTGATTTTGGAATCAAGGTCGCACTAACCTCATCAAAGGAGCTAGTTTTCATTCTTTTTCTGTTTTTCGGAATAACTTGTCTCACACAGGAATCAATGGTTTTTGAACATTTATTGAATCTCCCCTGTAACATCACCTGGGCCCAGGCTTTTTCCAAGAGGAATTTTTTTATTATCCCATCAGTTTCTGTGATGCATTTCTTAAATCAAGATCTGTTTCAAAGGCCCATCCCTAACTGCCTATTGTATTTTTGGAGATTGTATTTTACAGGTTTTGAGTTTAGTGAAAATACAGATAAAGTTATATTGATAGATATTCTTTACAATTTCAGGAGATTGTAGAGCAGCTACTAAAAATGATGCAAGAGGACATCACCAAAATAAGTCAATGTAATTCCCCATAGTAACAGAATAAAAAGTAACAGGATAATAACCATATGATTGCTTGACTAGATTCAGAAGAACATTGAAAAACATTCAATACCTAATCATGATAAAATTAGTAAACTTGAAATGGAAATGAATGCCCTTACTATGGTATAGGCCATCTACAAAAAGCTTACAGCCACACTTAATGCAAAGTATTGAATACATTTCCTTCAAGATTGGAAACAAGGCAAGGATCCCCACTCTCACTATGCCTATTAAACATGGTACTGGAAGTGCTGGCCATTGTAATAAGACATTAAAGGGACGTAAAAGGCTAATAGGCTGAAAAGGAAGAAAAATACTGTCTTTATTTGCCAGTGACATGTCAGGTACACCAAAACTTTTAAGAAATCTATACAGTTATTTGAACTAATAAGTGAATTTAGGAAGGTTGCAAAATACAAAATCAGTATAAAAAGATCAACTATATTTTTATATGTTTTATTAACAGTCAACTGGAAGTTGGAGTTTTTAAATTTTATTTACTTAGCAACCAGAACAAAACGCTTAGAATAAATTTTAAGAAATACGTACAAGTGAGTACTTCAAATTATAAAACTATGATTTTGCTGAGGAAAAATTAATTCAATATTGGATTGCAAAACTCAAAATTAATATTCAGTTCTCTGTAAATTGATCTTTGGTTTCAGTTCAATTCCAGTTAAAACACCATCAGGCTTTTTTTGTAGATATTGACAAATGGAGTCCAGAAATTTATGTGGAAATTCAAACAGAGGATTATTATATCTAAATATTGAAGAAGAACAAAGTTAAGACTTATACATCCTAACCTCAAGACTTACCACAATGCTATACCATAGACTAATGCTATACTGTATACCAATCAAGACAGTGTTATACTTCCAAGGACAGATACATAGATCAGTAAAAAAGAAGACCAAGAAGTAACCTCACGCCTGTGCAGTTGTTTGATTTTCTAAAAAGCATGAAAGTAATCGAGAGAAAGCAAAGTCATTTCTGCAAATTGTGCTTGAGCAATTAGATAACTATGTGACCCCTACTTCATGCACCATATATGAACATCAGTTCAAGATACATCATAGACCCAGAAGTAAATGCTAAAATCCTAAAGCTTTTAGAAGAAAACATGAGAATATCTTTGTGACTTGCATGGAGGCAAAGGCTTCTCAAAGGCAGGATACAAACAATAATCATAAAAGAAAACTATAAATTCAAATTTATCTAAATTTGAAACTTCTACTTATTAAGGTTTACTGTTAAAGTGAAAAGACAAGCCACAGGCGGTCAGAAAGTAGTCACAAAAATTCAGAAAAACATCTGTGAAGGGATTAATATCCATGAAATATAAAACTTCTGCAACTGAAAAATGAGAAGATAATGTAATAAAAATGAGCGAAAGATTTGAACATGTTTCAAAAGAAGATATAAGAATGACCAAAAGCACATTGAAAAGTGATCAACGTCATGAGTTGAAAAGGAAATGTAAGTTCAAAGGACAATGAAATACCACTGTGTATCTACTATAATAGTTAAAATTTAAAAGACTGACAGTACCATAGGGTAGCAAGGATGTGGAGCAGTTTGAACTCTCATGCATTGTTGGTGCAAATAGAAAATGATGGACCACTGGAGAAAACCTTCTGGCAGTTTTCAATCAAACCAGTCACATACTTACCCTGTAACACAGCGATTACAGTCCTGTGTATGTACCCAAGAGAATTGAAAGCATGTCCACAAAAAGGCTTACATAAGAATATTAATAGCAACTCTATTTAAAGGCCCAACCTGGAAACAGCCCAGGTTCTGTCAGTAACAAAATATATAAATGAACTGTGGTATACTCCATTGATGAAATACTACTCAGCAATAAAAATGAAGAAGCTACCAAAACATGAATAAATCTCAGAAACATTTTAAATGAAAGAAACCACACACGAAAGAGATAATTACTGTATGATTCCGTTTATCTGGAGTCCTAGGAAAGTTACAAATAACGTATGATGGTTAAAAAAAAATTTATACTGTTTGCCACTAGAGTCAGGAATGACTGGAAAGAAGTGTGAGGGAATTTTCTGGAATGAAGGTAACATTCTATGTCTTTAAATTGGGCTACACAGGTTTATGCATTTCTGAGAATTCATCAAATGATACGCTCAAGATTTGTGTACTTTGTTGTAAGTTTTGCCTCAAGAAAGGAAAAAGCTCTGAAAAAATAGGAAACTCTAGTTAATGGTAAACATACTGAAATATTTAGGGCCAGTGTACTGATGTTTATGATTTACTTTGAAATGCATCAAAAATGTAAATGGATTGAGGGATTGATAATTGGATATGATATGTGATAAAGCAAGTCAGTGAATTGTTGATAGTAGGTGGTAGATGTATGGATGTTTAGTGCCAAATTCTTTTAGCTTTTCTCTGTGTTTGAAATTTTTCGTGATAAAATGTTCGAAGAGTCTCAGGAGATGAAACCAGAGTATCTTTTTTCGGTAGAATGCATTAATTTCTTGGTTTATGAAGTTGAGGCAATATAGTGTAGTAGACCTAGAACTGATTCAAATCCAAGATCCTTGACTTACTAGCTGTGGGATCTTGGGATCTTACTTAATGATCTGTGCCTCAGTTACCTCTACAATAATCAAAATCACAGTCAGTTATTATGAGGATGGATAGATGATTCTTGGATCAGTGCCTAGCACATATTAAGCTCTAGATGTGTCAGTTACTTGCCAAGCATAATTAAAATACATTTTAAGAAAAGTGTGTTTCTCGATTTTGCTTTAAATTTTCAAATTTCACCTTTTAAAATATTTTTTGGTTGAGATCAATGCCAATTCTGTAGAGGCATGATGAGGGAGAGGGGTAAGAGGAAAGTTGGGGAGTGGATGGGAAGGGAAATGGAAAGGACTGAGCATTTCAATAACAAGGACACCTTGTACTTGATTAGCCTTTTTTTTTTTAAAGCTTTTCTCCTCAATGTATTTGTGTTGCATACATTTTCTGTATGTTCTATCGGAAATAGACGCACTGCATAAAACAAATATTAATTTCTGCAGATTGACCTAGAAGCTGAGATGGTGAGCACTGTGGCTGGCATTGGAATTCAAGGTACAGATAAAGAAGGTGGAGCTCAAGGAGAAGAACAGCCCATTAGTTCCCCTTGGGATGTAGTTTCTGGAAAGTCAGGTATGTAAACTTTTGATACTAAATGTAAGTAAATTTTGTTAAGTAAAATTCAGATTTTTAAAATATTATGGGAACATTCATTTGGATTATTTCTGTTGCTGTTTGCTTTATGTTTTCATAGCTATGACTTGGGATTTGTTAGTTGCATAACAACAAAGCCAGCAGTAATATATAGAAGATAGAGGATATATATCATTATATATAACATATAACATTACATACATATTATATTTTATACACAAGGTAGAGTATATATTACTCTATTGTTAAAGAATTTCACCTTAGTTGCCACTTTCAATTAAGGTAGTCTGAATATTTTTGAATTGGAAGGATTTATAGTTCCAGAATTTCAGAAGATTATCACGAACTCTACCTTTCAACAACGTCCTTTTTATTTGCTGTGGTGTGAAAAACAAATCAAGAAATGGCAGCTTTTTTGGATTATTAAAAATTGTATTAAAGAATGATAGCTTCTTTTGAACAATTAAAACAATTTTACATATGTGCAATGAAATACTGCTCAGCCATAAAAAGGAATAAAATCTTGTCATTTGTGACAACATGGATGGACCTAGATGGTATTATGCTAACTGAAGTAAGTCAGAGAAAGACGAATATTGTATGATTTCACCTATATATGGAATATGAAAAACAAAACAAGTGAACAAACATAACGAGACAGAAACAGAGTCGTAGATACAGAGAAGAAACAGGTGGTTGCCAGAAGGAATGAGGCAGAGGGATGAGTGAAATAGGTGAGGGAGATTAAGAGGTACAGACGTCCAGTTACAAAATAAAAGAGTCACAGGAATGAAATGTACAGCATGAGGAATATTGTTAATAATAATAAATATCTTTGGTGACACGTGGTAACTAAACTTATCGTGGTGATCATTTTGTAATGTATAGAGATACCGAATCACTATGTTATGTACCAGGAACTAACATAGTGTTGTAGGTCAGTTATAATTAAAAAAACAAACTAACAAACTTACAGAAAAAGGCAAGAGGCAGGGGGACGGGGACAGGAATTGGATGAAGGTGGTCAAAAGGTACAAAATTCCAGTTATAAGATACATAAGTAGAAGGGCTCTACTGTGCAATATAATTAATATAATGAACACTGCTGTATGTTATATATGAAAGTTAAGGTGGTGAAGTCCTGAGAGTTCTCATAACAAGAAAAAAATTTGTTATTTCTTTTTATTTTGTATCTTGCCAAATACCTGGAGTGAAGCTATTTTAAACTGTAAGTTAAATGCAGAGCCATGTGCTTTTAATGATCTGTTGAGCTTGCTGGGAGTTATATGCCCAAGGCATTCGTAGTTAGGCTTTGTGAAGTACTTATTATTTCCCAGGAATTCTATTTAAGGTTTGGGAAAATTGGTCAGATTCTTACCAGCGTTTCAAAGTAGTATATTATCCAAAAACACTTTAAGAGCTTCTGCTTTAAATCACTGTGAAATCTAATGCTGGATTAATGTGTATTGTCAGAGTGTGGGGAACTTGGATGATAGAATACATGCTCTCCTTACAGTTGTTTGTAGTAAACTATATTTTGTCATCACGTCATCATTCACTGAAAAAATACGTCATCACATATACAGTCTGTATTCACTTATATTCATATGTGTGTATGTTTCACATTATATATTTCATCAAAACACAGTTAACTTTTTCCTATAAGGAATTGTTGCTAATTTCAGTTATTATCTTATAAATAACCTGATTATCTACTGGAGAATTTTTTTCCATGATCTCTGTGTTGTAGGTAATTATACTTTTTCCTAAGGATCAAGTTTGTTTGAATATCATAACTGATTGTGTTTACATTGCTATACTGATTGCTAGGAAACTTAGAGACAGATTTAGCTTTAGCAGAGTTTAATGGAAACATGACAGTGATTTTTTTAGTATTAGTATGACTGAATCTTTCTTTTCTGCTCTATTTATCTATTGCTTCAACTTTCTTATTTTAAATTTATCTTACTAGGGTTTGTTTCTTTGTAAGCTACCTGAATACTTTGTGAAATAAAAATAGAAGTAAATAAATCCAGTAGAATATTTTACTGAAGTGGCTGGCTATGATAATTGATCAACATAGAAAAAAATATCTGTTAAATCTGGAAATCATAAAACTAAAAATGCTTTATTTTAAGAACTATGAATGTACATTTTTAACCAATCTTTTGAGTAGGACCAAAGTCTTTTCTTCTGTGTCCCCTGACAGTCTTATACTACTCAAAATGTATTGTTTTGGTTTCCTTTAAAGTGTGATGAGAATTTTAAAACACCTGCAAAGAAATCTGAGGGCTGAAATTTTTTAAACCTATTCTTTCCAGTTGTCTTCCCACATCTAAATAATTTGACTTAGCTACTTGCCTTTATAAAGCCTTTCCAAAATATTCAACTTTGTGAGAGACAGTTTCCTTTTTGCATTCATATTGAATAGGTTCGTATATATTTAAATTATGTAATTGTACAACTGGTTTAAACAGATGTGTGATTAAATGCAACTTGAAGGGGACTGTGGTTGAGAAAAATTGTTCTTGTAAACGTTTACGTTTTTTACTACTTTAAGAATTACATAGGATATTTCTGAAATTCTACTATAGTTAGGAATATGAGAGAAGATGGAGATGTCAGGCAGAAAACATGAAAAATAGATTAGGTATTGTGGTATCATATTAAGCTGTTCTATACTGCAAATAGTGGACCACAGCTATGCCTAGGAGCATGGACAAGTATCAGGAAATCTGTTGAGTGGATAAAGTAAGTTACAGAAGAGACCTATAATATGACTCCTTTAATAGAATGTTTAGTAACAAACAAGACCAATCATACATTAAGAGACCCATTCAGATATGATAAAATTTTAAAAATCAAAGAAGAAAATGAAAAACACATTTTTTAGACTGGTAGTTCCTTCTAGGAAGAGGGGAGGATATTCTCATAGAGGGGTGCTGGAGGTTTTCAAACAATGTTCCCTTTTTTCAGCTAGGTGGTGTGTACGTGGTGGTTTAGTTATTAAACTTTATATGGAACATTTATCCATTTAAATGCATGTTTAATTAAAAATTAAACCTTAAAAAATAAAGAAAACAGATCAGGTAAAGGGAGTGAAAAATAACAAAGACAAACCCTACCATGAGACTCAGTTAATGAACAACATACTTCAAGAAGATATTAGGGAAAGGGACTTGAAATACCTCTGTTTATTTTAAATATATATACCATGTAAATGTATGTATGTTTGTATTTTAAATAGTACGAATAACGTGATTGTGCCATTACAGTGATAAAAGCATGAAAGTAATTGACATAAAGTGATTTTTACAAAAGTTATTTTCATCCTTGTTCATTTTTGATTACCAGTCTAAATATGGTCAGGACTTCATAATGCACTAAAAATAATTAAGAATAACTCCAGTAAATTCATTTTTTCAGCAGAAACATTGCAATGTTTCTAAAATGCATATCAGGTCTGTGCTCACTCTGCTTCGTTCAAGAGGCCCCTTTTAATTCTTTCCCTAGTTCCTTTGTATAAAAAGTGTGTTTTTCTCTGGATTTCTTCAAGATTTTCTCTTTGGTTTTCAGCAGTTTGACTGATAAGTTACCCTGTGTAGGATTCTTGAGTCTGTGGTTTGATATCCTTCATTATTTGGGAAAATTCTCAGCTGTGGCCTTTTCAAATGTTTTTTTCCGCTCCTTCCTTTTTTCCCTGGGATTTCATTTGCTCATATGTTAGACTCTGATATTATATCCAACAGCTCTTACATATGATGGTGTTGGGTTTTTTAGTTTCTCCTTCTTTTCTCTTTGTGTTTCAGTGTGCATGATTTCTGTCATTGATTCTTTTCTCAGCTGTGTCTAGTCAATTGATAAGCCTATTGAAGGAATTTTCCATTTCTGATATTCTTTTTTTTTAAATAGTATTTCCATTGTACTGTTTCTTAGAGATTTTTATCTATCTGCTGAAATTCCTCATCTATTTAGGTATTTCAGCCACCTTTTTCTCTAGATTCTTTACCGTATTAAGCATAGTAATTTCGAAGTCCATATCAGATTCAAATTTCATGTCATCTCTAAGTCTGTTTCTGTTGATTGGTTTGTCTCTTAAAACTGGGGGGGTTTTGGTTTTTTTTTCTGTTTGTTTTTGTTTTCCTTAGTTTTATGTGTGTCTTCTCATTTTTTGTTAAGTCCCAGTCATCTTGTGTGGAACCATATATAGAGGAGGTTGAGACAATTTAGTTTGAAGCTGAGCTGGATTTGGATTTTATCATTGCCGTGAGTTCTGTCTGTTCTGTTTGAGATCTGAAAGTCCTCTCACAGTGGGTAGCCATTGCCTAAGCATGGGGGCCTGGATGCTAGAGGGTTTTTCTCAGTGTTAGTCCTCCACCCTCAGCTTCAGTGACCCCCCACAGCTGAGCCACAGAGTGGTTCTCTCGAGGGATAGACTGCTGCCATCTTCTGTACTAGGCTGTGTCCGGGCTGAGCAAGTGTTGTTTCATTCTGGTCACCCTCATCTTAGGGAGGTCCTGTGTGCCTGGGCCTCCATGAAACAGTGTGGGGGAGCTTTTTCATCCATCCTGTTCTTTCTCTCTGGCAGCTAAACCCTGCCTTGTATCTGTGAGTGGTTTTGAAGAGTTTCCTGCTTTTCCCCCAGCAGTGGGAAATCTCTGCTTGGTATCACTGTGGGGTCTTTGGCCAGAGACAGTTCCTTGCCCCTCCCTCAGAGGGAGAGAGATTTTTTTCTTCTTTCTCCAGTCATAATTGGGCTTTTCCTGTGCCCTGGCGGTGACAGACTTTGTTGCTTTATCCCAGTGGCTTAAGGCTTTGTTTCATAGGAAATTTAGAAACTGTAGAAAAATCAGTTTACCCTAATAGATGATTTCACAGATGCCATAAAGAGGGTTCTAGTCAGTGGGATCTATTTCGATATAACTTGCTTAAAATAACAGAAAATTTTTATAAGCAGAATTGCAGGTAATTTTCTTTTCATTTTCATTCTTCAGTTGCTGATATTATTCCTGTTTTCAGAAACTGTTTCACTAGTCCTTATGATAATTATGAAGGGTTTTGCATTTAAAAATACTTAACTCCCAAAGCTTTTTTATCTTATGACATTCTCCTTTTAGTTTGTGACTATTCAAAGTCCGTGATACTAACTGCACTCTTAATTTAAAGTTGTAATCTCTATGATTGTTACATACTTGTTAGAAGGAACAAAATACCCATACTTGGTGATACAGGTATATACTTTAGATTTCAAAATCCAGGATGAACAGTGTAAATTATTAATATGACTCTTATCAGTTTGATAGATATTATAAATGCCATACCACACCCCCCACTTTTTTTTAAACTCTCATTTTATTTCCAAGAACACTCTTTTCAGCCCTCAGTGAAATGATTAGGCAAGATAAAAACTTCTTAAGTGGCAGCATAGCATGGAACTGATGAGCCTGGACTCTGGGGCCAGACCACTTGGATTCTAATTATTTTCACATCTTAAGAGTTGTGTGACTGTGGACAAGTTACTCGGTCTCTTAATGCCTCAATTTCCTCATCTAAATTGGAGATACTGAAAGACTTACTGTGAAATTATGAGAATTAATACATGGAAAGTACTCAGAATAGAGCCTGGCACATAGAAAGTACTATGTAAGTGTTATTATCATCGTTTTTTGTAAGGTTTTTGTGCTAAAGGTCACAAAGAGATGTTGATAAGCTGAACCAAACCACAAATGGAAAGGCAAGGGACCGGGGCAAATACCTGTAAGAGAGTACTTGGCCACGGGCTGTGTGAGAGGCTGCAGGGAGGGAAGGGCAGGAGTGAACCTAGCCACACATCCTGGGGTCGGAAGCCGTGGTTAACGTTTGACCAGATCCCTATTTCTGGTCACACATTAAAATGCACTTGGGTACTTAAAGCCAAAGCGAAATCCATGGGGCAGAGGCAGAAGGGAGGGAAAAGAGGCCAGGCCAAGCAGAGTACTGGCCACAGGAGCACAGGCTCACTTCTGCAGTTCCTTCACTCTGATCAGAACACTCATAGTCTGGAATTCGACTCACTAATGGATTATTCCAGGTTTAGCTGTGTGAATACCAACAAATTATTTAACCCCTTTGAATTTCAATTTCTTTGTAAAGTGGCGATGATAATAATAGGACTTGGTAACATTAAATTAGAGGACGTAATCCATATAAAGTGCCTATTAGCTCAGGGCCTAAAAGATAGGAAGTGCTCTGAATGGTTACCATTTTCACCACCACGCCCCCATCATCATCCTCCTCATCGATCCGAATATAGAATCCTAAACACCTGAATCCTGACCTGACACAGCCTCTGCTTTCACACTTCTTCTCATACGTCCAGCTTTTAAGGAAATAGTACACAGAGACCAAGATCAAACAGATGCTCCCACTGTTAGCACTACGAAGCGCTGGCCTTTGTGTAGGAGACCCTGGGTGAACTAGATGGCCTGTTTGAAGAAGTAGTTAATGGAGACCTGATTTGGTCTTTCACTCCTGTATATGCCAGTACAGCTCTCCTTTTGGCAGAGCAGAGAGGCTTTAAACCCATGTCGTCTTCTGATGATTACAGTTGTATTTCTAATCTTTATGCTTTTTGCTTCTTTTTCTTCCTTGTACAAATTAGGACCTTCATATGATGCTAAATAAGTGTTGATAGCAGATCTCCTTGTCTCATTTCTGTTCTCAGGGGGAATGTCTTAGCTCTGGCTGCCATAACAAAATGCCACAGACTGGGTGGCCTAAACAACAGAATTTTATTTTGTCACAGTTCTGGAGGCTAGAAGTCCAAGGTCAAGGTGCCAGCATGATTGGTTTCTGGTGAGAGCTCTCTTCTGGCTTATGGAAGGTCACCTTCAAGCTTTGTCTTTACATGGCAGGGGCAAAACAAAATAAAAGGCTATAATTATGAAGAGCTTTTGATCCAGCTTTAAAGAGATAAGCAGAGACTGAGTCCCCCAGAATATATGGATGCCATTGTTACTTTTAATACAATTTATGTTTATAAAAAATTAGAACATGAAAAATTAAATTGAAGTAAGCTACTTTCCTTTAGATTTCACAATGACAGCTATTAACACAGAGAAAGAGGCAACATGAAAAGCAGATTTTTTCAACGATGGGTGTAGCACAGTGGTAGAGTGCGTGCTAGGCACAAGGTCCTGGGTTTAATCCCCAGTACCTCCAGTAAAAATAAATAAATAAACCTAAGTACCGCCCCCCCCCCCAAAAGAAATAGATTTTTCTGCTGGACTGCCTGGATTCAGATTCCAGTTTCTTCATTTAGTAGCTCTGTGATCCTGGCAAGTTACCTCTGTAGCCTCAGTGTCCTTTGTAAAAAGGGCCTAGTAACAATAGCTGTCTCCTGGAGCTTTTGAGAAAATCTAAGTGATAATCTCTATAAAGTGCTTGGCACATGGCAACTATAATTTATTGCCCATAGAGAATTATTTTTGTTGCTGTTAAATTGAAAGAGACTTGAAAGTAATACAAGTTAAGGAAGAAAAATTCCTATGGACACAACTATTTGAAGTTAATGAAAGTACAAATAAAATAGACTTACCAAGACATTCCTTTTAGCATAAGATATGTCTGTCTAAATTATTTTAGTTAAAATGTCTCAATTACATGTAAAAGTAAACCTCAGAATACAGCTTAAATTAAAAGAATTAAATATTTTAACAGTCGAATTAATTTGAGAAATAGAGCCTTGTGACATTATGGTAGGTTGTATATCAGTCTTTAAAAAAGAATATTATTTATTAATTTTAGAAACAGAGCTGTATATTGTACTTTTAGTTTTATTGCATATCAACGGCATGTTGCTGAAAAAGTTTCACAATTAAGCAGTAGATTTTTTTCATACCAGTAGTGATGTGAGTCTAAGTCTAAAAGCTAGTACTGTGGTGGAAATATACATTTCTTAAACTATTAAAAGATACAGTTCTTTCATGAGAAATTGTTCGAAGAACTGTTCCTAAAGCATGTAATTTAGGTGCTTGACTGCCAGAGTTTCTTTGGAGAGTATGAGTCAACTCATTTCTTGTATCACATACAATAAGAAATCAAATATTTTTAAACATTGTGCCCAGAGATTAAGAATACTTTGGATTTCTGTGAATTTTCAGGTAAATTTGTTAAGTCTAAAGAAGTCCTTTCACAAGGAAAATGGAAAATTTTCAACAACAACTTAAAACATTGCAAATTTTTTAATTTTCTTCTATCAATAATTTATAAACATATTACTGTATTCCCTTAATTTAAATTTCTGAAATAATTGGGAGTGTTTGTTTATTTTTATAAAGGTCCTGAAGTCCAAACCGATGACATTCTGTGGATAGCCATGGCAGGGACTCATCAGATATGGGCACTCCTGTTGGACTCTGGCAGACTACCAAAGAAAAAGTAAGTGATAACATCTCTCTTGGGGTAACCTTGGAGGTCACAGAATGCGTGTTCCCAAATTCTCCATCCTCGTAACACCCATCTAGTTAGGACATGCTGGGCTGTGCTACCACAGCAAGCAGCCCAGGTTCTCGGTCGCTCAAGACAGGTTTGTTTCTTGCTCACTCACATAGGTCTGCTGGGGAGCAGTACTCTGCCACCCAGGCTGGTGCAGCAGCCACCATTTGGAGCTTGGCCAGTCATCCTGGCAGAGAGAGAGGTGGTGAGTCACTCACTGGCTCTTAAACTTCTCAGAAGTGACACATATCACTTCTACTCACATTTCATCAGCCCAAGTAAGTCTCATGACCACACCTAACATTGAGGAGCTTGGGAAGAGCAGTCCCACCGAGCA